CGCGCCACTCGTACACACACACACGCGAGCTCACACACACACATATGCACACACACACTCATACACACACACATACACACATACACACACACACACACACAAATGTGAGATTGCCTAACTTGAAGACGCTTTAAGTTTACCACTGTTATCCCACTGCAGCGATCTCTTCCTTCTATTTCTGTCCAATGTTTCTAGATATATATCTATTAGTCTAATCTGGTTACATGGGATATATTTTCATTGTGTTTTACCACACTCTACATTGTATAACTCTTTTACAGGCTTAATCGACTCACAATTTTTTAGAAAACAACTAAATATTATAAAAACAAACGGCCACAAAACATAGAAAGACAGGAATTCAGTGGACAGCAGTGATCCAACTTGAAGATCTTAATTTTCCCCCGGGGTGGGGTGTTTACGGCGCACCGAGGGGCATATGAGCGCACTGACCTGGATTTTGCTGATTGCGTTGTTTTACCCTCACACATTCACCTACAGATGAAGGAGAAAATAGGAAATCTTGTAATTATCTCCTTGATGACAGATCTTAAAGTATATCCAAACAAGACTATAATACAAAGGATCATCACCACCATCAATGATTACCATCAGTGAAGCATCGGTTGAGGACGTTGATATCTTTACTTACTTAAGAAGCATAGCTTTTGGGAAACTAACATACCATTTAACCAAAAAAAAAAAAAAAAAACAACCCAACAACTTCGGATACTTCTATGAAAGGTGGAGGAACAGCTGAAGATATAATGACAAGAATAAGCAGGACGAGGGGTGCTTCCACACAACTAAGAAACGTAGTATGGAAATCAGGAAAGGAAGGGACAAAAACCAAGACTGAGATGTTTAATATCAGAATCAAAATTGTACTACTCTATGGATCAAAAAGATGGAAACTTACCAAACAAATTCTAAAAAGCTACATAATTTGACAGTTATGAAAAGGGATTAGGCCATAAGAAAAGAACAACCATAGGAGTGAACAAACCAACAGAGAATAGCTCTGTATAAATCAGGAAGTCAACATGGAAGTGGATTGGACACATGTTGAGAAAACTGAAAACGAACCTTACGTATCAAGCTTTATACGATGGAATCTACTGAGAAACAGAAAGAAATGAAGGCCTGAAGTTTTTTTTTAATGAGGGAATTAGATTCGGACCTAAAGGTGATGGGATACAGCGGGGTAGAGGTGAAGACTATAATTATTATAATAGCCGAGGACAGATTAGGCACATGAGACCTTTTGTTGGTGGCTTATTAACTCTGACACAGGTTGAGAAAGGCTGCTGATGACTTAATTTTAAAAAATAAAAAATACCCGAACAAAAATCGAAACAGAATTGTGTCTAAAAGAAGTTTCCAGCATGTTTGGGAAAATTATATCGTAGAAGAATCCGAAGAGGTTTTTTTTCCATTCCCAAGTGCTTTTACGCATAATTAAAATACTTATATACCCCCTCCCCCATCTAAAAGCCAAAACGACCCTTCCTTTTTATTGGTCGTACGACCTGACTTTGTATTCGATTTTCCCTTTGTTTGTTTATATTCGTATTCTTTGTGATCAGTTTCCTTCGATTTAATATACCAGCCCCCCCCCCCTCCAAACTCCATTACATCTGTGTCCATCTGTATGCACTTTCTCCCCTTTGTAAGATGCATCCGCGCCCTTGCACTCTA